AGCACCGTTCAATTGTGCACTTGCGTTTGCGTAGTGCCATTCAGTATAATTAATATATTGTGCTTCATCACATAGTCACAGATCTAAAATAGCGGCAAGTTCACAAAGACTGGGACGACCTCGAAGAACATTCTTTATTACCGCGTTTTCACTTTCAACACGTGATGTCGATGAGATACCGGCCGTAAAGAATTTAGTTGTATATGCCTTAGCCCATCTTTCTTTACTAGGATAGAGTTCAGAGTTAAGATAATTAGCTGCCTTGGAGTATGTTGTAACGAGATTGTGCCATTGGGAATCAAACTCAACAGGAGACAAAATATTACGGCATATATGAAAATCTTTCAAGAAATCATTATAGGTATTACCAAGAGATGCTTTAAGATTACGAATAAGATTTTGTGAGATGTGATAGAGACAGTGAAGCGGATATGTACGGCTGTATTGAATGTCTATAGCGGCATCCATACCAGGATCAGCATCAGTAATAAAAACTCGTGGAGCATAATTCGTAGCTTTTAAAGTACAAGTGAGAAGCCATTCGTATGTTTCTTTGGTTTCATCATTAACCAAAGCTTGAGCAACAAGACGGGTGCGAAAATGATTGTTGACTGCTACAAATAGAGAAAGTGGCATATTGTGTTGATTAGTTTTATGTGTGTTGTCGTTTAGTATAACATCGTGATAGGTGATCCATCATTGAACTTGGTCTGGTGACATTCAAAATAATTTATCCAGACTATTTGTTTCACGTTGAAGTTCCCAAAATACCTCCCATCTCGGTTCCTCAGCTTTTTTGTTAAGTAATTGTTCTAGAAGTTTTGCTGCATTATTTTTTTCCCGGTCTGCTATCTTAAATTTTTGTATCAAATTTTGTAGGTCACGTGGATATATTATAATATTAGGAAATTTGGTAGAGAGAAGTCAACGTTGAATCGTTGTACTAAGGTTACCTTCAACTGTATAAAAGTGAATTTCTTGTATAATGACTTCAGGTAAGGCTCGATTTTTCATAGCAAATAAGTTGACTTCAAAATTGAACAGATGGTTATGGTTAAGATCTAGTGATATAACACTAATCATTGCAGTTTTTCTTGGAAAAGACACATTAACATGCCAAGGACAACCAGATCGCTTTGATCTGCTGTTTCGTTGGTTTTCCAGGACTACAGATTTCTTAGGCGCGTAAGTACCTTGACGATCACAGGCAAAAGTGCGTCGCCGATAGATTCTTTCTGGAGGGGGATCTCGTTCATTTCTAATCTTAATAATAACGAAATGCTCTTGTCTGGCATAATCATCAAAATATTTATCGACATCATACCACGTTTGAAAGACTTGTCCAGCAGAAGGTGACACCAAGATTTGTTGCGAAAGAAAACTAAATATGAAGAAGAATTTGGGT